CACTTCCTATGGTTCATGCGGCACCTGCTAGTTCTTCCTCAGGTAAGTACATGTTATCAACAGAAAAGGTGAAGTGGTGAGGACTGGCATTTCCTCAGGAAAAATGGCCCAAAAAGGGTGGGATAGTCAAGGCAACTTCAGGGTTGGTTTTCTGATCTGTGTGATATGTCTCGGGGACACCTGCCTGAGATGAAACACTCGCCTTGGACAGCAAGGCTGTCTGAGGTTCAGCCGCATTCAGTACTGAGGGCCTGGCCCAGGCCCCAAGGGGAAGCCTAACACGCACTCTGAACAGGCCCTTCAGCCTGCCCCGTTCTGTACCCTCTGAAATCCCTGAAGCTTAGGTAGAGGGTGCATGGGTGAGGGGTGGGGAGGGGGGTGGCTAGTGATCTGCGCCTGCACTGGGAGGGGAATGGAGTAAGCCAGTGAGAAATGGGATGAGCCTGCGTGGCTGGCCCCAGGGACAACGTTTTTGCTTTTTATTTTTTTTTATTGATTTTAGAAGGGAAGGGAGAGGGAGAGAGAGAAACATCAATGATGAGAGAGAATCATTGTTGGCTGCCTCCTGCATGCCCCACACTGGGGATCGAGCCCATAACCCGGGCATGTGCCCTGACCAGGAATCGAACCATGACCTCTTGGTTCATAGATCGGTGCTCAACCACTGAGCCATGCCAGCCGGGCTGGGGAGAAGGTCTTGAAGATAGGGAAAGAGTATTTTAAAATATATTTTTTTTCTTACAATAACTAAGTGGGAAAAAGAGACAAAAATCCCGTTTTCCTTCCCAAATGGTCTGAGACTTCTCTCCCTGTGCAGCGTATTTAACATGGAGGGATAGCTGCTGTGGGGACACCATGGTTTCCCTTGGGGATGGAGAAGGGGCATGCAACCGCTTCCAGGGGCACCTGGAGACCCAGAAGGGAAGGGACTGAGCTCAAGGACTTTATTCTACTTCTTGGGTCTTTTTTTTTTTTTTTTTAATGAGCATCAGGACTTGCCTTTCCGGCATCTTGCAGCTGGCTCTTGCCACTCTCTCCTTGCTTAACTTACTGAGTCTCTGTGTTAGTCGCTGTTTCACACCCACACTGACAGTCTGCCCTCCTCCCAAGGCCCTGGGACATCTGCCAGGCAGTGAAATCAAATGTGAAGTTAAATATAATCCAGCCATCGTCATGCTCCCAGTCTCCCTCCACCCCCCTCCCTCCTTCCCCAGAGAGCAGGGTGCCCCGGCGGTGGTGCCCCGGCGAGTGAGCCTTTCCAAAAAATGTTTACTCCAGAAACTTCACCCAGAAGTAGAGGAGAAGTCCTGGTATAATGAACTCTTGTGTGCCTACCATCCAGCTTTAACACTTACCAACATTTTGGCTGATCTCGTTTATTTAATTTCATATATATATTCAATAAAATGCATATACATGTGTTTTCCTGAAGTATTTGAAGACAAGTTCCAGGTATCATCTCATTTCGTCCTAAACTGCTTCAGCCTGAATGTCTGATAAATAGGGAAGCATTTCAAAACAATTAGTCACTATGCCATCACCGCAGCTAATAATCTGAAACAGAATCCCTATTCAAATTTCTGTTGTAGTCTCAAAACTGTATTTTTTTTTTTTTTTTACAGTTGGTTTGGACATATATCTTTGATCTCAAAAAGAAGTTTCCTGAGAAAATTAAGAATGAGCAGAATTCTAATAAGAAGTTTCACCTTAAGGATTGTTTACAGACTTTTTGCAGAATTCGCTTACACGTGAATAATGGGCTTGTTGTACAAGTGTCTCAATTCCTTTGTCCAAATGAGAACAGAGGCCTGTGCTGTGCCAGACCCTCCAGCCAGGCAATGGGGGAGAGACCCTCCCGCAGAGCTCACCGCCCTCCCGGGGCAGGAGGGCGAGGGGGTGAAAGCCTGCAGGATGGCTTCCTGGGAGCTCGTGCACAGGCAGGATGGGGCCATGGGAGCTCAGTGGAAGGAACAGCTGCAACTTCAGGCCCTGTTGCTGTAAAAAAAAAGACATTGCATGAGGAAAATATTGAGACTCCTTTAATTTAGCCTGATTTTTTTTCCAATCAGTTATCGTAAGATGATGCCGTAAATTGAATGTTTTTGTTCCCCGAAAATTCATATGTTAAATCCTAACGCCCAATGTGATAGAATTTGGGGGTGGGGCCTTCAAGCGGTAAATTGGTCATGGGTGTAGGGCAGTGGTTCTCAACCTGTGAGTCGCTACCCCTTTGGGGATTGAACGACCCTTTCACAGGGGTCGCCTAAGACCATCGGAAAACACATATATAATTACATATTGTTTACAGTAGCAAAATTACAGTTATGAAGTAGCAACGAAGATAATTTTATGGGTGGGGGTCACCACAACATGAGGAACTGTATTAAAGGGTCGCGGCATTAGGAAGGTTGAGAACCACTGGTATAGGGCCTTCATGAATGGGATGAGGGCCCTTATAAAAGGACCCCAGAGAGCTCCCTTGTCCCCTCCACCTTATGAGGACCCAGCGAAAGATGTGGTCTACGAAGCAGGAAGTGAGTCCTTGTCAGACATGGAATCTGCTGGCATCTTATCTTGGACATTCAGGCTCTGGAACCGAGAGAAATAAAGGTCTGTTGTTTATAAGCTACCCAGGCTATGGTATTCCATTATAGCAGCCCAAACGCACTAAGACAGGTGATGTTCATTTTAACTTATATATACTAGTATTTCTTCTCTTTCATTTCCTCCCCTCCCCTCCCTCCCTCCCTCCCTTCCTTCCTTCCTTCCTTCCTTCCTTCCTTCCTTCCTTCCTTCCTTCCTTCCTTCCTTCCTTCCTTCCTTCCTTCCTAATCTTGTAATTCTTCCATGTTAGTAGGTTCTCCTCCTGCTCTCTCCCATGCCTAGCTTTCCTGAAGTGGACTCCCTGTCTTCTTCACTCCCGTCAGCCACATTCCTTGGGATGACCCAGGGGTTCTCTGGGTTTTGGTGTGTGGCCCCTGCACTTCTCGGGACCTATTTCAGAGAGAGAGAGAGAGAGAGAGAGAGAGAGAGAGAGAGAGAGAGAGAGAGAGAAGAAGAAGAAGAAGAAGAAGAAGAAGAAGAAGAAGAAGAAGAAGAAGAAGAAGAAGAAGAAGGAGGGGGGGAGAGGGAGAGAGAGAGAGAGAAACATTGATTCATTGTTCCATGTATTTATGCAATTCACTGGTTGATTCTTTTTTCATTATTGATTAAGGTATTACATATGTGTCCTTATCCTCTAATTGCCCCCCCCCCCCGCCCGCTCATCCCTCACCCCCCTGGTGTCTGTGTCCATTGGTTAGGCTTATATCATGCATACAAGTCCTTTGGTTGATCTGTTCCCCTTCCCCCACCCTCCCCTATCTTCCCTCTGAGGTTTGAGCATCTGATCGATGCTTCTCTGTCTCTGGATCTGTTTTTGTTCATCAGTTTATGTTGTTCATTATATTCCACAAATGAGTGAGATCATGTGATATTTATCTTTCTCTGGCTGACTTATTTCACTTAGCATAATGCTCTCCAGGTCCATCTGCGCTGTTGCAAATGGTAAGAGTTCCTTCCTTTTTAGAGCAGCATAGTATTCCATCGTGTAGATGTACCACAGTTTTCTAATCCATTCATCTGCTGATGGGCACTTAGGCTGTTTCCAGATCTTAGCTATGGTGAATTGTGCTGCTATGAACATAGGGGTGCATATATCCTTTCTGATTGGTGTTTCTGGTTTCTTGGGATATATTCCTAGAAGTGGGATCACTGGGTCAAATGGGAGTTCCATTTTTAGTTTTTTGAGGAAACTCCACAGTGGCTGCCCCGGTCTGCATTCCCACCTCCCTGGTTGATTCTTGTATGTGCCCTGACCAGGGATCCAACCCACAATCTTGGCGTATGGGAACGATGCTGAAACCAACTGAGCTACTGGACGAGGGCTGCAACCTTGCTTCACAGTTCTCTCAGCGTCCAAATCCATTTCTTTTTGCTCTGCGGTTATCTTATTTTGGGTTCCTCCAAGAGCAGCACCTGAGACCAGGGTTCTGGGGCAGAAGGTGTTTGGGAGGTGTCCCTAGGAAGCGGAAGTGAGGGCGGGGAGAGCGAGACAGGGAAGGAGGGGCCAATTAAGAGTGCTTCATTCATGTGATGACTGGTGTGGGCACTGGGCTCAATCTGGGTACGATGCACCTCAGAATTGCCCCTGGGGAGGGCGGGAGGCTGGCGCATTTATCCACAGAGCCTCATCCCTACTGGTTGAGAGCCTCCTCCAGGGCCATCCTCTCCCTCTTAGGCTGGCCGTGTGGGCTGACAGGCCTTCCTTAGATGTCAAGGTGGCAAGATCCGAGGAGAGCTGTGCCAGGGAACTGCATGTCACAGCTGCAGCTGGCCTCAGGGGTGGCCAGGGCACCAGAGCCTGCTGAGCACCTCCATTCCTGCTGCTTCCCTAACTCATTAACACTAATAACAACATGATTTAGTAAGTGCTTTTTGTATATCAGTCACTGGGCTTCTATCTTCCCAAACATATTGTCATTGAATCTTTTGAAGGTATATGAGGGAGGTTGTATTATTCTTCCCATGTACAGGTGACAAATTGAGGGTAAAGAAGTTACAGAGCTTGTCTAAGGGCTAGGCACCCTCTGGGCTGGGAGCTGGGGTTGAAGTGAGAGCTGGGCATGGGGGCTCTGTTACCTTCTTTACAGCCTTGTTCCCCCATCCTCAGGCCAGAGATCATAAGTTCTCAGGGCCAGGACCCCTTGGGCTGAGGATGACAGTGTACCCGTGAACTTAACCCAGGTAGATTTGTGTAGTCGGGCATCCCTAGACTTAGATCCTGAGGTTGAAGCCTGGAATAAATTGCTCTGTCCTTTTGGAAAAAAGAAGTGTCGTTTCTTTAAAATACGTTTTTATTGATTTCAGAGAGGAAGGGAGAGGGAGAGAGAGACAGAAACATCAATGATGAGAGGGAATCATTGATCGGCTGCCTCCTACACGCCCACACTGGGGATGGAGCTGGCATCGGAATCGATCCCCTTGTGCCCTTGACCGACTCGAACCCAGGACCCTTCCATCCGCAGGCTGACACGCTATCCCCTGAGCCAACCAGCTAGGGCTGTAATTCTTGATTGTATGATGCTGTGAAGCAAGCATCTGGGGTCTTCTGAAAGGTCCTTCTGGCTTGATTTGATGCTTTTCTCACTGGACTCTGCAAAAGTCCTGACTTTGGAGGTTGAACATGGCCAGGTGCTGTCCCCAGACTCTGCCAGCTGTGAGCTGCTGCCTCAGGGGAGTGCAAGAGAATGCCTGAGGGTGGAAAAGGATCTGGAAGGACAATCTAAGAAACACCCCCTTCCCTGCTGACCCCGGGAGTCACCTCACAGAGAAGGGAATGACTCTCCAGGCCTCTGCTCAGACACCCGCTGCTGTGGGCTGGCCTCCTGAGCCCCTGGGGCTGAGAGGAGCCGCAGGAGCTGCTCAGAAACAAGGCAACTCAGACAGTCCCTGGAGGCCACCAAAGGGGCAAACACATCACCCCCAAGCCTCTGTTACCCACCTCAGGCCTGCGGGGACTGGGCGGATCATGGCACTAGCACCTTCTAGCCCCTGGGGGTAAGTGCAAAGAGAGTGTTGTAAGACATGGGTCATGGCCTAGACTCCTCAGCAACACAGGCCAAAATGTTCTCTCTTTCTTCCCCTCTTTTTTATTTCATTTAGTTTGCCTTGAGTTTCTCCCAAACACCTTCTGCTGGCAGCTAATGGAGTCTTGACTGATACAGAAGCCAGCCACTTCCCTCAGCTGCCACGTGACCCACTCAGGCTCTCCAGCCACACCTGACTGCCCCTCTTCTCGGGCCTCCCCTTCCGCCCCCACCTGAGCTAGTGCACAGGAAAGACTCGGCCTCTGTCATCTACACGGAGGCGAGTTTGTGTCCATGTGCTCCTGGTCCCAGATCACTGGCGTTTAAAGCCTGTTGCTGATTGAGACGTGAAGGGAAGCAGATTCACTTACATCTACCTTGAACTAGACACTGTGCTGGGTCGTTCTCTCATTAAATCTCCGGAGTAATCAGCCAGATGTTTTGGGGGATGGGGACCCTTGAACTCATCCATGGAAGTGACTCCCTTGGATGGGCCAGCCCTCGAGTCCACCCCGGAACTCAAGTTCAAACTCTCAAGTCCTCATGTTCTGCAGGGATGACTGCTCTGTGCCGGCAACCAGAACGGTCCTGTCTTTGCGAGCCTGCGTATCTGGTGGAGCCTGCTATGGAGCTGCATGTCTTTGTTTGCTGGGGTTTTATTCATTTATTCAAAAACTTGGTGCTTCTCAGGCTGATGTGCAGACCCTCCCTGGCTCTGGGGCAGCATGTGCTCATGCTGTCAGTCCTGTGCTTCGGGGGTCCTTCAGCCCAAACAACTGGCGGCTGGCTGTGGCCAAGCCCCGGCAGAACTGACCTTCGGGAAGGTGGCTTGGAGGAGTGAGAGAGGAAGGGACTGGAGGCCTGGATCAACATGTCCACTCAGGCTCTCTCCAAGCCTTCAAGGCTTCAGCACCCAGGGCTGAAGTCCAGCTGCTGTAGCATGTCCTGCAGAGACCCCTGCAGCCTGCTGAGGACCACCACCTCTGTGGAGTAGAGGGAAGCTTCCAGGGCATCGTCCAGGCCCTCCAAGGTCTTCAGACTCCTGGTCCGGGGGAAGGGGCAGCTGTTGGAGGAGGCCAGCAGGTGGAGAAGGTCCCGGAGGTTCTCCAGGTCGTTAGATATTTGGAGCACGTTTCCGGAAGGCAGGCTGGTGAGGATCTGTTGGTAAACTGCCAGTGTCTGGTCCATCCTGGACAAACTCAGGATTGGGTGGAGCCCAGGAATGAAGTCCAAACCAGTGACCCTCTGTTTGGAGGAGACGGACCGCTGTGCAGGAGGAAGAGGGAGAAGGACAGCTCAGCAAGGCAGGAGACAAGTCCCTTCTCTAAAGCCCTTGGCCTCTCATTGAGTATGGAGGTTCATTTCCTAGGTTGCTTCCTTTCCCTCTTCTGCACCATCCCGGCCTGGGCCCTGATTTCTTGTGCCCACGTGGCTGCCAAACCTCTCAGCTGGCCTCCTGGACTTTTTGTCCTCCTGCCCTTCCCAAACCACCCTGCCCTCCACTTTCAGACCAACCTTCCCAGGTCGGTCGTGCCTTCTCTGAATGGCCTCTGCTTTAGAGCCAGCCGTGACTCCCATTCCGTACTGAGTTAAGTCTCTTCCCTAGGCACCGAGATCTTTCATAAGCGCTCCCTCCCAGCCGTCTTCACTCCCTTCCTTTCCCAGTAAATTCCTCCCTTCAAGTCAGATTCTTCATGGACCTCACCCCTGTAGGCTGCCCCCAGCGAGTGTCCCGCCTCTCGCCTCTGCTCCTATAACTCTGGTTACCAGGAGGGCTTCCCCTTCCCAACTGCCCACAGCTCCCCCTGCACCCACAGCAGGGACCCTCTGGACATTTCCCGTGCAGCCTTGTCAAATGACTATTTTGAAAGCAATGAAACGTAAGGGTTTCTCTCTGTAAAATGTCCAAGACTTTGTCTTGTTCCGAGCTGTCCCTGCTTCTGGCCACCTAACTTCTCCCTTCCCAAGGCCACTGTCAGATGTCCACAGTGACCAGGAGATGTGGAAGTCCATGCAGGGTAAAAAGCAGGCGTTTAAGGCTGGGGACTACAAAAACTACAACTGCAAACCTTTAATGAGGGCACACTCGGTTCTGGTCCTGCGGGGGTGGGGAGGGGTCACTTGCTTTCTTGAATTTAATCTCATAATGACCTTATAAAGACTATATGACATGATACAGTCCCTTAGACATGAGTGCCATATCTAGATGATGAAACCAAGGCTTAAAGACATTGAGGAACTAGCTTAAGATTTTGTAGATAGAGAGCAGAGGTGTACAGAGAAGTGGGAAATGGCTGAAGGTCTAGGCCTGTGGATCCCAAAGCAAAGACCCAAGGGGCATTGATAACTGTTTACAAATGCCCAGAAGTTGTATGTGGAAGGGGGTAGACTTGCTCTTTAGCGTGGCCTTGGCCACAGGACTCGCATTAATGGGGAGACCTTCTAAGGGCCAGAGCTCAGCTGCAACTAGGAAAAACACCTACTGACCAGCACATTCTAGAGATACATGGAGATCCCAGAGGGGGGTCTGGTCACATGCCAATGGGGCCAAGGACCTTTATGGCTCCCTCTGGCCCTAGGCAGTAGGATTCCAGTCAGGGAGGAAGAGAAGTAAGAAAGCGGGGACTGATGAGAGAAGGAGAGAAGAGGCAGCTGCTCGTACAGTAGGAGGAGTCAAGGCCACCAAAGCCCCTGCATGCCACTGCACAGGCCTCAGTTAACCTCTGAGGACCCAGTGTCCCCACGGGCTGGCCACACGTCTATTTTGTCTCCCCAGACCCTCCCTACCGTGTGTGAAATGTCGTTGATCCTGGTGACAATCGTCTTGATGAGGGTTTTGGTGTCATCCTGGACTTTCTGGATGGGCGCAGCTTCTGCGTAGAACAAATAGGGCCAAAGCCACAGGAATCGGCACAGGAATCCACAGTGCATTTTCCCTCCTGGATGTGTGTCTTGGGCCTGGAAGCAAAGGGAACCACACATTACATGTTACTGCTGTCTCTGAAAATATCATATGCCCTGTTACCAACCACCTCACCGGATGTGGATCAAAATGAGGTTAGCTTTCTGCCCTGGCTATCATCTCCTTAGGGTCAAAGACAATTCATTTTCTAGAAATGCATTAATAAAAAGCATCTCCTCAGGGAGAGGCGAGGCCTGGTCAATAAAACCACGAGGAGGTGGGCTGTAGACCGCAGAGCAGGAAGCCACCATGAGCAAACGGACGCGGTGGTGATGATGTAACTTCATGGTGTGCTTCGAGGAAGAGAGTGGGCCCTTAAGGTCTGGTTTAAATCTAGCCACTTACCAGCTGTGAGACTTTAAGCAAATCACATAACTGCTAAAAACTCTACCTTTTATCCCCTGAAGTATTCCCATCTCCAAGCTTTCATACGGATCAAATTAGATAATGCATGTGAATGAGCTATAAAGGTATTGTGAAATGTACGCTATTACTACCCCGTTGTTAGAGATTATGTCACTTGTCCTCCCATTACTCTCATAGCAGCCGCTGATGTGGCCATATGGCATTTATCATTGGCTTTATCGCTTCCCGGCTCTCCCACTGGGAACCTGAATCCAACCAGCACTTATGGAAGGACTGATAATATGTCACAGGCAGTTCTTGGCACCAAGGATACAATAGTGAACCACAGGTGGTCTCTACCTTCAAGTTGCTTACAGTTTGGTAAGAGAGACAAACAGGTAAACAGACCATTCCAACTCAGGAAAAAAGAGCTTTGCAAGAAAGACAAGTACAAGATATCGCAGGGATCAGAGGGGGCTTCCTGGAAGAGGTGTCACCTGAGCTGGGTATTAAAGACTGAGCAGGGGTTAGGAAGAGTAGAAAGTGGTTGCCATAGTCACAAAAGTCACAAAGAAAGCAGCAGATACAGAGGCACAGAGGCAGCAGGGAAGATATAGTATGTCCCCCCGGAATGTTTGAAACTTTCAGCATCCTGGAACCATGAATTCTAAATTTAACAATATGCTGATCCTCGATGAAGCCACAAAGTTTTAATGAGATACACGAGGCAATGAAGCAAAAGGTAATAAAGTTAAATGTTTGTGAGTCTGTGGCCGATGACCCATGCTAAGTATATGTGGATGAGCCTGAAATAATAATTAAATGTAAATAAATTTTAGCGTGAAAGGTCTGAAGGTAGCAAAAAAGTTAACCTCTGCTTTTGGGGTTCTGCCTCATCTGGATCCTGATAAAAACAGATAATACACTTTCTGTCCATAGGTGACATTATTAACATAATTCCCATCCTGCCAATGTCATAGAAATCAATAGTCTGTTTATATACTATTTATAATGCCTGATCAAAGGCATGTTTCTTAAAATCTGTTTTATAGAAGGGAAAAATGAGGCTCAAGGGGATGCATTCACTCACCCAAAGTCGAACAGGTAAGTGGCAGAGCCAGAATTCGCACTCAGAACTGCCTCCCCCAGAAAGCCTGGGCTCCCTTTACCCCAAGCCCAGTTTCTCCCGTCTTCACGGGAAAGTCCAAACCATTAACCACTCCAATGCCCAGCCAAGGGCGGCTGGCACTCAGGGACCATGGCACTTGGGAAAGAATTCCCCACTCCAGGATGAAGCTATGAGATTGTACCCTCATAGCAACTTCAAATATGAAAAATACTCCGTCATTTGGCAGGGGGCACTTCAGATGTGTTTGTTCTTTTAAAAAAGTTACAACTCCTCCTGTTAGATTCTCGTTACCTGAAGAAACGTCTCCACCAAACCTTTGTGGGACAGAGTCAAATAACGCTAACCCCCAGTGTGATTCCACCAAACCTTAGCGACGGTAGCAGCGTCACTCTGTCCCGGGCTTTAGCTGCGGTCTGCCCTTACTAGCTATGTCTCTGGGAAAGATACTTAAGTTCCCCAGAGCAGTGGTTCTCAACCTTGGCTGCACATTAGAATCACCTGGGAATCTTTTTAAAATCCTGATTTCTGGGCCCCATCCTCTGGAAATTCTGTTTCTTTGTTATGGGGTGGGGTCGGCAAACTCATTAGTCAACAGAGCCAAATATCAACAGTACAACGATTGAAATTTCTTTTGAGAGCCAAATTTTTTAAACTTAAACTATATAGGTAGGTACATTGTTATTAACTTAATTAGGGGACTCCTAAGGCTTAGGAAGAGCCAACTCAAGGGGCCAAAGAGCTGCGTGTGGTTCGGGAGCCAGCCCTAGAGCATCTGCTCCCATCTATAAAATGGATCTGATAACTGATAACACCACCTGGCTCAAAGGGCAAATGACACGAACCTGTAAAGCCCTTGTTGGTGTGTGTGTGTGTGTGTGTGTGTGTGTGTGTGTGTGTGAGAGAGAGAGAGAGAGAGAGAGAGAGAGAGAGAGAGAGAGAGAGAGAGAGAGAGATGAAGGGTGGGGAGAATAAATGCCAGCTGTTTTGAATGGAGTAATTGCTGGGCAGGGCTTGAAATGCGTGGGCAACACTACCTGTAGCCAACCCTGAATCAAGCACCTGGCTGCTTGCCTCCCCTGGGCCATCTCAACAGGGTCCCGGGTGTTTCTGGGTCTTCCCCTTGTGCACAAGATTGAGTCCTATCCTTCCCCAGGATTTATGTGCTAATGACGCCCTCCTTCCCAAGAGAATTTATTAGCAGATTAACTCTGGTTGTAGTTGCTCTCACATAATGGCCACCCTGTACTACCTTAACGGAGAAACAGTTTACAAGCCCTCTCTATCACCACTGCTCATGCTCCAGTGGCTGCTGAAAATAAATGGCAGTTCCTTGAAACATGGAATTGAGAAGCTGCTGCTAAGTCTTCCTAACAGGTAACAGGCCCATCTGAGATCAAAGTGATGGAGAGAACCTGGCCCACCAACACACAGCGAATAACATACATTCTCACACACGTAACACACACATTACAGGCATACACACACACACACACACACACACACACACACACACACACCTTTTTAGTAGAGGCTGCTAGTTGTCTAATATCTAGTCTTCCCTTCTTCCCAAGTAATAGGACTCCAAGTTTAGATGGGGATGTGGCCACCCAGCATAAACACGACACTTCCCAGCTTCTCCAACTAGGATGGCCATGTGACTAAACGATGGCCAATTAAATACAAACGGAAGTACATGTGGCAGCTCTCCTGTTGTGCGCCTGCCTTTTTCATCCCTCCCTCCACCCCACAGGTGACTTGTGGGTGCAGTAGCCCATGTTCTGGTGTCAAGTTGGATCATGAGGACCACGGCCTCACCTTACGAATAGGGAGTAGGAGCTGGAGGAGCCCAGGTCCCCGAGGTCACTGTGGCGCTGAGATGCCGTACTGGCCTCGGACTGCCTGAGGGACACGACCTCGTCTTGGTTAAGCCACTGTTAGTTGGGATCTCATAAATGCAGCCAAACTTAATGCTAACCAATTCACACGCCCAGGCATGGGCGTCAGAAAAGAGTGAATCGAGTTTTCTGTGATTCACTGGCGTGTCATTAACTGGGTGGGGTGCCTGGCTGTGACCCGACAAGGGAATGGCTGGGAAGAGCAGGGTTTAGGGAGTGGGGAGTGGAAGGATAATTCAAGACAGCAACTACAACGTCATTGAGCTTGGCGCCTGACACATAATAGTTGCTCACTATACAGGGATCCCCCAAAATGTACACACACTGGAACAGCTGATTCTATTACATGTTGACAATGAAATGTATTTTAATAAGCATTGCCTTTGTAACTATTCAGAGTGTGTGTACATTTTTTGGACACCTGTGTATTTGATGGTTGACAGCTAGATGTGTTGATGGCCCACTGTGGGCCAGGCATAGAGATGAAAGAGACAGGGAACCACAGGAAAGTGGGAGTCAGGAGTGGGGAGGGAGGAGGCGTCCTGGTGGGCTCCCAGGAAGCCCAGGGAGTATTTCATAGTGTTGTATGTTGTCAACTACTTACATGTATCATTTGAAGAACAGTTAATCAGATAACATGCCTTGGGTATCTCGGGAGGGAGTCATCCTGTTTACCACGCTGAGCCCTCGGGTTGGGCAGCACGTGTTTGAGTTGGGAGTACAGGGCCTTGGAAAACTTCATTAACCTCTCTGAGACTCAGTTTTCTTAGCTATAAAATGGGGATGTTATGAACCATAATTCCCACCTATGACCGTGATGTGGATGAAATGAGATAATACACATGGCCAACCAACCCCAATTCCCGTTAGTCATTATCACCATTATTTCCAGCTAAGAAATCAAGGAGGTGTCTTGGAGGAGGTGGCATTTGATTAGGGCCCTGAGAGGGAAGAAATTGGGTTGTGAAGGTGGAGGAGAGGGGCAGCCCCAGGAGTGGACTCTGGAGATGGTGGCTGGCAGCTGGCATGGAGGTGTGATGAATGAGGAGGCAGGGAGGCGGGTGGGCATGAGTGGCGTGGGGAGAAGCTCTTTTCTGTGGGAGTGGGGAGCTCTGATCACTCCCCAGCTAGTGTTGTTAGCCAGGTGACAAGGATGGGAGTTGGAAAAAGCATGCGGACAGGTCTAGAAGTGAGGGTGCGGGGCATGCTGACTTGCTGGGCCTGGCAGGCCCGCAGGTGGGTCCGTCCCCCTGATGGTGGGACAAGGAGTCTCAGTTCAGAAACGAGGACTGTGGCGGTCGACCTAGGAGTGCGGGTTGGATGGTCACAGGAGGGAGTGGAGAGAGCTGAGGAGAGGAGGGGAGGAAGAAAAGCCTGGGCTGCAAAGCCTTTTTTCTCTAGAAGTTTCCAAGACATTTTTGAACATTTAAGAGCTGTCATTTTTCTAAGATGAACTGCTGAAGTGTTGATACAACATCCTGTCTCTTTCATTTTCCTCTGATGGTTGTATAAGGAGAGCCTGGAGATAGAGGGGGCACCGCTGGGGGAGGGCAAGGCGGCCAAAGGGACCATTGCCTCTGAGCTCTCCTTCCACCCGGAGCCCCCCCACCCCCGCCTCTCTCT